GTACCAACCACCGTCACAGAAAGTTAAAGAAAATCTTATGACGCGAAGGGCGTGCACGTAAGCATCTATTTTTAACTTCTTTGTAATCATAGGTTCAACAGTCAACAAAGGTTACCTACTACGTAATCCATCTTAACCTAAACGTCCTTCAGCTACCACCATGCCCTTAAACAATTTTGAAAGTATTTTGTTTTGAATCAATGTACCTACTAGAATATCATCTAAGCTATTTTTATTTCTCCAGCACATTTCCAGACTTATGACCGGTTTCCGAAAGTCCGATCAATGTTAAAATCAACTAACTAGGTGTCAAATCTCTTGTCAAGTCATCTGATTGGTTGTTGATAATTCAATCAACCAATCGGATGACTTAACAAGATATATATTGATTTTAACATTGATCGGCCTTACGGAAACCGGGTGTTAATGTTGTATGTTAGAATTGTGAAAAATCTCAAAATGAAAATTAAATTAAAAATCTCAAATTAAAAAAGCTAAAGCCTTATCCTACCGGGAAATGAAAGCTGAAATACCAAACAACTCAGCTGGTCGTTAATTGCATTGGAACTTCCTTTGGTATTTCAATATCAATGCATAATGCTATATTTCACTCGTAAACCTCTTTAATTTAGCCAATTTATCCCTTTATTGTTCCAAATCACAATGCGGAAAGCTCACTTGTTGCTCATAATTTGATCCAAACACAAAGACTAGATGAAATCTAAATCTACCCCCTTCTGAATTGTAGCAGTAGTGTCATTCAATTACATACTTTCAATAAAAAAACCCTCAAAAGAACATTTCAAGTAGCCATTCCCGAAGGTAGCGCAGTAGGTACTAATAGAACGCCAACTGCACTCTGCACAAGTGTATACTATTTCTGTGTACACAATATGAAATGTTTTCTGTCCATTGTTATCGTAAGTATTATACAAACGTAGTATATCGTAAATTCCATATATTTTTTTATATTTTACAAAAAGAAAACCTTGCTCCATATTTTCTCCTGTCTCATCGTAGGAGCGTTTATGCGAGCGCTCATGTCGCCCAGACCTGAAAACACAATTTGGATCACACAAAGAGTTGTTCGTACGGGAACCGAACCCGGTTAATTTGTGGAGGGGAAAGATCGGGCCTCCGGTCACACGGTGAAACACAATGCGGTGGTTTCACGCCGGTTTTCTATGAGGCTATGGAATCACTCCAGTCGAGCCGACCCATTCGTGCCGAAGCATGGCTCTCACACATTTAGCGGGCGATCCCATTGCTGTACATGAGAAACGATGCCAAACTCCATAACACTTTCGAAGCTAAAAGGAAAATGGTATAATACACTTTTATAATTTCAAATATCAACGCGGGTACGTAGCCCTGTCATTGTTGATTTATTATTAAGTGAGGGGCGGGGCAGGTTAATGACATGCATTATGATTATGACATTCGACGTAATAAGGGCCACTCACCATATTACGCTAAAGTGTACCACTCTTAAGCGTATTTTGTGTAAACATAATTTAATTTAACTGTTTGTATGTGGACAAAGTTGATGTTTATTTATTTCCCAAAGAAGTTCGACAACGGCTATAGTTTTTGAGGCGAAAAAATTATCGAATGTCTTCTTCTGTCCTAGGTGGCGTGAGAAGTTCAAATATATCAGAGAAGTAACATCTGCATTACAAAGTAGTGTTTTGCACAGTCTCGTCCCTAGGTTCCATGAAATAAATGTTTAGCAAGCCTTTTAATTTGTATGTATTTGTAGGTTCCTATTAATTACCATAAGATACAACCTTCCCTATTATAATCATCAACCTGATATTATCCACCTCTGGACATAGGCTTTTCCCACTAGCGAAAAGGTTTAGGTTTTCTTATCGAAACTGAGGAATGACTGTCCCTGTAGAATCATGAAACTTCTAGATTTGTTACGTTTGTATTATCTTTTAGTCTTTTTTTGTCAGGGAAAATTATCAAACGACTTCTCCCGCCTAGGGTAAAGCGAGAGAAAGAGTGTCAGACTCTTACTAACTAAAAACACCCCCGTTCCTTCTCCTGCTCTGGGCCGAGGCTGCGGTGACTAATTGAGCGTAACCCGCAACCACAGCTGGATCTAGGAATCTTAAAATGCAAGCAACAAAATAACAAATGCAAGTGCTTTTCAGTTACAAACAGAATAGGTCAAGTATAAATTAGATTGATTTTTTATTTGATAATTGATAAGTTTTTTTACCAAAAAGCCGGATATAGTTAGGTTGTATCGGGACAACAATATTAGGTACAACAGTCATCATTATCATAGGAACAAAATTATTAACAATAAGTATCTATCTACATAAATGTGCTACTTTAAAACTTTATATACGTAATACTCGTATGTGCATACATCGCGGGGCCATAACGCTGAATACAAATAAAAACAAAATTATTACAGGGAACGTCAACGTCTCAATGTAACAAAAATACAACAAAAGTCTTCATTTCATCAGACAAAAACGAGACGTAAACGAAGAGATTCTCCTCCAGCCGTATATTATAACGCTGCGTTCTACAACAAGCTGTAATTTCAATTAGGGGTGACCATGTGTCTGCACTGTATGGTTGCCGGCAATTTGACCGCCTTGTTTAGATCAACTCAATTACTTTCATATTCAGGGTGTACATTTTTTTAATGCTACTGGTTTTATTTTTATGAATTTTTCTCTAGTGGTTCTAAATGTACGCGTACTTAGAGAACTGTGATAACAGAGCATGGTAAAACGTTTTAAATGATAGATTCAGTGAACGTAACCGTTAAAAAACAAATGTATTTTACAGATTTTGAAAAAATGTCATGACTTGTTTGAAACTAAAGTTTTATAGAATTTGTACAATGTATACTAAACCTCAAGTATTTATCGAAATAAATGTTTACGTTATTTTAATATTCTTCAGTAGCATCTGCTTAACGAGCTAGCCTAATCTTAGGAAAAAACACTTTAAAATCAAACATATAAAGTAAAAAATTGCAAAATAAGAAGCTACCTGCTACCGAAAAGTGACTTAAAAGTTCAAAAATAAATACCTATCCAGTTTAATACGATATTATTTGCCATAAAGTAAAATCTAATTCACTTTCCCGATCTTTTGTGCTGGGTGGTAAAGATCAAAATCGATTTTGCGTAATCGAACTTCGTAATAACAATAAAGGAATGTTTTAGGGCCCCGATATATTTTTTTATCACCTTTCTGCATCGCTGGTAATGTACCACGGTGTAGGTGAAAATTTGGAAAGGAAAATGCCGAAGTAATGGCGATGCTGACTCGAGAACCGACAGGAAAGAATTAGGAAAACTTTTTCAATTTAAAGATCATGGACAGTTTGATGGAGCGTAGCTAAAGATGTATAAGCGTCTTATCAATCCTCGATGTTTAATCGCATCACATTTTTTGAATTTAGAACGATTAATTTTTATTTGATTTAATAATAATATTTAGGTAACAAAATGTATGTGAATGTTTATAAAACAACCATCTTAATGTATGTAATGTCAAAAGTAATGTAATTAGTGTGACATAGCCGATTTCTTTTTAGATTTGATATGTATTCATTTTAATGATCATTGGAAAATCGATTATTTAAATAAAGTAAACGTAATAGATACCTATCTAAAACGTATTTGGTATATACTATAAATCCTTCTTTTAAAATTTAAAAACCCTCCAAGTTTTTTGGTAATATCCTTAAAGACACATTAGTCAATAATCGTCGAACTGATTGAAGGGCATAATAGAAAATATCCAGCATTAAATGCCACTTAAAACAGACTATTGAGCAGAAAATAATGTAATGACTACCATTATAGCCTATAATGCTATCTAGGTTTTTCACTTCTTCGAAGGATCCTTGCCAAGTCTGCTAACGAGCGAACACTAAGACAAGGTTTCTAGTTAATAGCCATGAACAAAGTTAGCCACGTTTATCGTCACACAGGCAAAGTTCAGAAGAAGGCTTGTACGGTATAAAACGTGCCATTTTTACGAGGGATAAGTATAAACCACGACACATTGTACCTAATCCCTGCTCTTTTGTACAACATTATAACACCAACGTAGTCCTTATACTCTCAAAACAAAATACGGTAGTTACCAACTAGTCAAATTCAATACTTTTATCCAAACGTCAAAAACGTTACTTTTGTATGAAAAACTGAGTTATGGCGTCATAACATTTTTGCGTCAAATAGCTTACTTATTTCTTAATAATCAGCTAAAAATCTAAAATTTAGTGTATCGATCGATCGATGAAAGATGAATAAAAGTGTAGTTATTTTTCAATATTTTATTGTATTGAAACGTCGAATTAATTTATTTTTAAACTAGGAAACTACCAAATTATTAGAAATAAACTCTCAAGTTTGCAGTAATGAGTTCGAATTTATAGATAAGGTATACAAGATAAACTGCTCATGTATTCTGTTTAAGCCACTAACGAGATTCAGGGTTGGAATCCCAGGTCGACAAAATGGCCGGCCAGTCGAGTAACAAATGAGTTCGGTTTATTCATTTCTGCAAATAGGTTTATTTATAAGAGGGAGAAGAAATAACAGCGTACGGCATATGAATTGCTACACGTAATAAGATCATTTAACATTTTTAACGATTTGTAACATAAGACGTGTGAAATCTAGCGAAATAAATTACTCTGAAGCGACTGCATTGAATGTCGAAATTATTATGATAAAAAATCATGGCTACATTTCAATTTATTCAATTTGATTAAAACATTATCAAAATGGAACGAAATAAAATCTTCCCTTAACATCACGCTGTATAGGGGCGCGTCAAGGCCCTGACAAAATTTCTTTTATCAGTACTTCCCTATCGCTAGCCAGAGCGACATTGTGCACAGTTAATAGGTATATCGGATACATAATTATATTAAAACTCCGGGGGTCATAATTGAATCAAATTAAATTAATAATTTTCTTCTTAACTTTAAGATTTTTCGATAATAGATACGTAAAATGTCATTGATAAATGAAAGCGACTATGAGAACAACTCATTCTCTTTCTTCGGACCGGTTGGCATGGCTTTCTACGATGACGGCATGGTCTTAGAAAATACTTTCACAATCAAAATCGCTATCAGTGTAATTCTAGGGATATATATGATTGTGAGTGTGATTGGAAATGTTTGTACCCTGGTTGTGATTGCCCAGGACCGTACCATGCGGACTCCAACGAACTGCTACCTCGCCAATCTCGCCATTACAGACCTACTAACCGCTCTCTTCATTCCTCTTGATGTTTACATTATCTTCGTACCTGACTTCTATCCTCTAGGAGAAGTAGGTTGTCGAATGCATTATGTGCTCTGGGACGTTCTCAGTAACTGCAGCTTACTCATCATCACGGCCTTTACGATCGAGCGGTACATAATAGTGATGAAACCTTTTTTTCGTCAAAAGCTGACACTGAATTCTCGGGTCTTCAAAATCGTTGGTGTTATATGGCTCTTGTCGTTGAGTTTTTGTATCCCTGACGTGTTCTACATCGATCTCTTGGAAAGAAAGGAATATGTGTTTTGTTACTTTTCCTTGACGAAAATTGTGAGCATCGTAGTTGCTATAGAAGTTTTTGTATTCTTTCTTATACCAATGACTACGATTCTGATAATGTATATCAAAATAATGATAAAATTGAAGACGGTACAGAAAAAGTTGCGAGGTAGCCCCGTGGTTGGGAAACAGAACAGAGACAAAGCGGCGAAAATGATTGGTAAGTAACATTGTTCTATCTCAAATTAATTCTTAATAGGTAATCGAGATTATAATAAGTGGCACAGAACAACGTTTCCTTCAAAGTCACTTAATAAAATTATCTGCCTAGTTGCTAAATTTATCTTCTCTTAAATCCTGAGACTTATTTATAGCATTTTATTTATAAAAGGGGAAATTCACTTAAAATACTTTAATAGTTGTCCAACAAAAGAATAAGGAAATCAGGCCAAATGCGACACGCGCAGTTGTTAAAAACAAGTAACAAGTTCATCAAAGTAATTTATTTTTAAGGGTTTTGTTTCGTTGTAAAATTATCCAACACGGAAACAACTTTTTGGAACAAATTATGGTAAATAAAAGACGTGATTTTGTTTCATCAGACATAATTTATTGTAATACAGATTTATACTTGAAATGAGCTTTGCACTACAATAACTTCATACATTAGTGTGTTTAGTGATGAACGAACGAACAATCAAAAATTACAAATAAAGTGTGCTTGTTAGGACGTGAAGCCCAAAAAATATTAAATATTTATAAAAAAATATCATTATCATTACATAGCACAATCCCTAATAATCCCTATATAAGGTTAAATCTTTCAAACTCTGCAACGGATTTTGATGCGGTTTTTATTAATAGATAGAGTTATTGAAGAAGGTAGTTTATATGTATAATAATAACATCCATTTAATAGTAGTGAAATTTAGCATTAATATTGCACCCGTGTGAAGTTTGGGCGGGTCGTTAGTTGATTTTATAAAGTACACCATAGGTATATCAAAATTATCCATGCTTAGGCACTGACGGGTCGGCTCGACCAGAATGATAGCACGGCCTTACAGAGAACTCAGCATGAAACAATCACAGCTTTGTGGTTCGCCTTGTGAGTGATGTTACCATAGGCCCAGTCCCCAATCCCTACATCTTCGAAACACTAATCCCCAAAAGGCTGGTAACGTATTCGTAATTCTAGTATCACGGGTGTCCATGGGCGGCGATTTTCCAGTTGGTTACAGTCAGGTGATCTGTCTAATCGTTAACCATCCCATCGAAGATCAAAGAAAAAATATGGGTCATAAGATGCAGCCTGGTGGAAGACAGACAGATGGAACGGCGAAGTCATATTAATAGGGTTCTCTTTTTACCCTTTGAGAACAGAACCCAAAAGTGTAGTACTAACTTTCATATTAAATACATTCTTCAACTCCGATTTTATGAATCAAAGTTCTATGCAAGTGTTTGCAGTAACTAGTGTTTATTACTTTGCTCAACAGTCCGTGCGAGTTTCTGTAATGTATCTTGTGAACTTTAGTTAGGCTCCTACGAATGAGCTCGTTTCCTTCTCAGTAACAACAATATAGGATCTTACATTTAGAGCAAGTCTCTGCGTGGCTATGCAAAAGTAAAACTCGTAAACTATTCAGATTTTAATACATAATGTAGAAATTTGTAAAGTTGGAATAGTGGAGGTGTCCTTTGAAAACTATTCTAATAGGAATGAAGACTAAATTTTATTGAATTTTTTCTGGCATTGCTACAAATATAAAAAAATTAATTGACTCATTTGGGTCAATAGCTAAATAAAACCTGCACATACTTTCATTCTTATTTGTTGTGTTTCTTATTGTAAGGAGAAGGTTCTTACGAAAGAAAATTTAAAAAAAGTAGGGGGATAATCGCTAATTAGCAGCCAGTAAAATAGTTAGATACCCATAACAATTAGCAGATTAGATTGTAGATTTTATTTTTCATGGAAAAAGTACGTTTTGATTAGGGCCGTACCGTTACAGTTAGGTACATTTTATACCTAGGCATGAAGCCGCTACCTCTCACCTCTTAAATTAAAATGATTTTTTTAGATACATACATATTGTGCACTCACGTACAAAACTAGGTACCTATGTTTGTAAACGAGTCCATGGCAAGAAGAAAATCCCGGTGTAATGTATGAAAGAAAAGAATATATCAATGAAAAAGAAAAAAAACTGTCTTATTAATTAGATTTCTAAATTTTAGAAATATATTATGGTAATATTTGCTATATAAACAAGTCGATTGATAATAAGTAATGTAGGAAATATAATCTCTTTTTATTTTTAAATCGTTGATTATTTTATTTACAGCGGCCGTCGCAGCATCATTCTTTCTTTCATGGACTCCCTACTGCATATTCCGTATTATGACAGTATTTCCGAAATTCAAATACGAAGATTATTATAACGTAAGTATAAATTACTGCCCATGTTAATAGATTTTGTTAATTATTTAGTCTGACGATGGTGATGACAATATACGTACCTTAAATATACCGAAAGTGTTCCCAAAAACACTGATTCATCACTAAAGCCCCATCCATAATAAAAAATGACTTGAATTATAAAAAAAATACATTTACGTTTAGAGGAATCCACTCTCGTCCTCATAATAGGACAGTTACAGGTCATAAGTCATCAAGGCCGCGTCTCCAGGGCCCTCTGCCAACTTTGATAATATATTAATATTCATGAGCCGAAAATTCGCATATTGTGTCCAAATAATGCTTTGAAATTTCACTTTGATACATTCATCTTTCTAGTTTTATTGAAACTAAAACTTTATTATTAAAATTTTCGTATTTAAGTAAGTAATAGAAATATATTCCATTTACATACTAACACTGCAAACATTTAATATTTGTATTTCTGTTTCGGTTTAAAATAATGCTTAACGTAAGGTTCCTATGATGTAAGAAGCTAAACATTAAAATTAAAAAAAAACCTTTCACCAGCGCTGCAGTTTTTGCAACAGACCTTTATACATCTCATTTAGATTTACGTTAAAACTCAATCAAACAAAGGCGCAGACAAAGCGCTACTTTCAACTAAAACAAAAACAAGCAACTTCAAATAAACGTTTTTCATGCAAAGTGCAAAGTAATTAGAGTTCAAACACATGCATATTAAAGTGCACAGTCTAGTGCACATCCCTAGAGCACTCGATCATTAAAACTCTTATTTAATATTACACGCTTAATCTCACTGCATATCAACATATTGCAATAAAAATGTAAATTTTAACAAGAAAAATATTTATAAAGCGTAAAATTTTATCGTGGTGGCCTGGAGGTAAAAGCTTCTCATATATGAGGGTTCGAAACCTGACAAGTACCAAAGTGACTATTACCGATTCATATGTACTTTCTATTATTATTTAGACACCATTGAAATACGGTGAAGGAAACACATCGTAAGAAAACCTGGACTTATAATTTCCAATCATAAGTTTGAAATCACCAATCTGCCCTTGAACAAGCCTGGTCATTAATGCTGAAACCATGTCCGTGTAAGAAGAGGCCTTTGCTCAGCAGTCGGCACTATATATTATTATGCTGATAATGTGTAAAAAATTACGTGTAAATAAAATTTTATTTCAGGTTTGGAAGATTATCAACTACCTATGTTACAATGGCTACATGTCCACAGCTGCGAACCCAATACTTTACAGTTTAATGTCCCGGAAATTTCGACAAGCGTTTAAAGTAAGTGGAGATTAACTTGGAACTTAGTGTTGAAAGGATCGATTGAACTTTAGCCGAGGGCGAAATTGATAGTTTTAAAGATGCATAGCTTTAGCGAGGTCATTACTCGGAAATAAGAAAGTAGTTTTCGCGTACACACTTTAGAGTTTTTGTAAAAGATTTAAAGTGATATTGAGTAGGATAAAGTCAGATATATTTATAATATATTTATATGGGACTAGCTACTTTCGCGCGGTTTTACTCCATTTGATCGCAGCATAATGTTTTATAGCCTATAACACTAAGGAATATTAAAGCTATCTATCAGTAAAAGTATTTTGGATATCCGACCAGCGGTCCCAAATATTACCCACAAATTACTAATTTTACCTCTTTATAATATAAAAAGGTAAAAAAACTAATGGCTAATCAAATTACTTCAATAATCACAGATTAATATCTGAAACAAGTTTACACGAGTAACATATAAAATAATACAAAGAAAAAAAATGGAACACTAAAAAAATCAGCCACAAAAATTCCATAAAGTACAAAATTACGAAAAAATAATGTAGTCTTCTTTTATCTGTTGTATGTTGTAATTTTAACTATAAAAATACTTGCTTACAAATAATTACTTAAATTAGTGTCAATATAACATATACCATAATACATACAAACATATTAAAACCACGAAAAGCAGCAATATTTAATAGTTTTTCGAAAATTGATGGTATGCACCAAATTTTACTTAGAGCTATTCTGAAGTTTGTAGTACGTTAGCTTGGAAATTTCTATGAACCCTAGCCGCATTCACGCTTTTAAATATTTAATCAATTCTATGAGATGATATCAACCTAGAGTAATTACTATCATAGTTAATAGTGTAGGATGTTAGCGTACAGTCATCTGTACGCTAACAATTTAGGCATTAATTGTCAATAAATTATTTAATTATAAGTAGTTCGCTACTGTGAGCAAGCACTAATTCGCTAGTATAACTGTAATATTCACATGTATATTATTGTGGTTAGCAATACAATTAATATTAATGCATTAACTCTATAACTATCCAATTCCGAAAGCTTATACATTAATAATGTTAGCTAGAACTGTGATCTATTAATTATATATCGATACATTGACTAGCAAACTTAGTAAGTTTAAATAGAATAATATCAATTTAAAAAAAAATGTAAAATTAAATCTATGGTAATCTTATAATCGTACTAGTGGACCCTCCCCGAATACCCCGCATATCAAATTTCATAGAAATCGTTAGGGCCGTTTCCGAGATCACATACTTTTTCAAGCAATCAGCAACAACTGCCGGGCTGATTTGTGAATCTAAACCATCCAGGGCGCCACACAAACGCGTTCAAAAAATCGTTAAAATCGGTCAAGCCGTTTAGGAGGAGTTCAATCGCATACACACGTACATCAGAATTATGTTTATAGATTTAAAATAAATAGAAACTCTTATTTACAGTTATTACATCAAGAGTTTCTCTTTCGATTTGGTTAAGGACCGTCTTAGCGCAAACTCATCCATTCCCTCGCCGAGTAAAGCTGGTACCTTTGATAAACTATCGTTGCCAGGAATCGCTTCACAGACTACTTTTAAGTGAATATAAATCAGTCTGCATACAAGTGTTTGTCGTTGTCACCGTCCGGTCTGGTGCAGTTTTACGACCCGATAAAACACATCTGTGCTTTATTATATTACCTACAGCTATGTTGTCACATCACATTTTGTGCTGAAGAAGTAGTCAGACACATTTAGCTTAGTAGATTTGACCACAGAACAAGAATAATAAATAAAGTTATTATTCCTAACTTAGCTCGTAGACTAATGACTGTTAAATATTGAAGCTTTGAAGAAATACATATACAGAAAGTTCAAACGTACTTCACTGTTTCTTTTTTAAGGGAGGAAATCAACAAATTACTTCTCTGGTCTTGGCTGGGGCAAGAGACTGTGTCAGAATCTTACTGACTAAAACTCATCCCATTCCTTCTCCTGCTCTAGGCCCGAGACACTGTACTTTACTACTTTACTTTGTTGCACTGTCTAATGCTTAATATAGGCTACAAAAGAAGACTTTATAATAATAATTTGAGCCTTTCCATCAGTATCCACAACTACCAGATCCTACAAACGCCTCTCTTTTTTGATAATGATGTATAGAACAGCAGAAAATACGCCAACAATATAAATCGTTATAAAAGCTTGAAGTGTCGGAACGCTACTCTTTGTTCACATGCCACGCCAGTTTTAAATTCGGGGTTCGGCAATTTTGTTGTTTCACGGACCTATATACATTTTAGAGGAACGCAGTCACTGGAACTTGGAAATTCAAGTGTCTAAACTGTCGATAGTGGAAACTATGTATTGATAAAACTTTTAGTCTGTCGTGTTTAGTAAAAAGAAATATTTTTAATAAAAATGTCGCTTTTATATTTATTTAACGCGATATCTACTCGAATGATTATTATATGTGCCACTTATTCCGTTCATTTGAGAAAATAAAGAAGTCGTCTTAGAGAAATTCGACGCTTAAAATTTGCAACTGACAATTCAATCTTCAGGTGCTAAACGCAATTTCATAGTCGAATAGTTTGTCGCCTTCCACCGATATTGCTCTTTCAAAATTCCTTAAATCAAGTGTCTTTCTGGAATCGAATTACATTTTAATCACGGATCTATTTTATGTTGGATTGCTTAAAACTTGTTTTATTTTTAAGTTCTCCTCTCTTGTATGTACATATTAATATATCACTGGTTATAATTACCTCAAAACATTATTTTAAGCTAATCTCTTGTTTAAAAAAAATTGTTCCTTTTGTAGAAGGTATAAGGAATAAATATTATATGTCTAATAATCATTTGAAACTTAACTGCTAACTTATTGGATGAAGCTATGGCTTTCACTAAATTTTAGCTATACAGCTATATGTTATATATAGTGATCACAATATTTTATGGAGTTTTGAGAAAAAAATCAAACTGCTACTTTAGTACTAAGCAAAAATATAAGTCATACATCTGACACCGTAATCTAAACTAATATTATAAATGCGAAGGTAACTCTGTCTGTCTGTCTGTCTTTTCTTCACGCCTAAAGTACTGAACAGATTTCTGTGAAATTTGGTACACGACGACATTGTTTGGAACTCGAGAAAGGACATACGACAGTTTTTATACCAATAATCGTCAGGTAGTCACTATTCCACGCGAACGGAGTCGCAGGCAAAAGCTAGCTATTATATAAATTAACAATCATCTGAAACTTAACTGCTAACTTATATATATACTAACTTATATATATATAGTTAAAGCTATGAATTTCACAAAAGTTTACATATCCATTATATTAATATATACCTACATATAGTGATGACAACACTTTATGGAGTTTTGTGAATAAAACCAAACTGGTATTCTAGTAAAATAAAGTATGATAAAATAATAGATCATAGACTGACACCATAAAGAGGATCCATATAAATAATTCGTCTATTAAAAAGTATTTATTTAATGGAATGGAATGGAATGTATAGTGAAGTACCCATGAACGCGGCGCAGTCAAAGTTCAATTGGAAATCTGCCCAAACAAGTAGCACGTAATGAACAGCCATTTTGAGTGGAACCATTGTTAGTAGTTACAAGCCATTGTTCCGCTTAATACGGGATAAAATCCGTACAAATATTTAGAATATCTCTGTGCCTTTTTCCTCATAATCTGTTTCAAAGAAATAGGCGAAAAATATATCTTACTGCAATATAAATCAGCTTTAGTACTTAATGTACGTCTATTATAGAAAAACATATAGATACACACAACTAGTTAATTCCTGACTATATTTTCTTTGAAAGTCGAATGTTGTTATTCTCAAATCTAGTACTATTTTCATACAAAGTTATATTCAGACGAATAAACTTTCTGAAAATGAAAATTCACAATAGTTCGTTTTGAATAAAAATAGGACTTTAACAGAAATTTCCCACAACATTGGAGAACGCCTTTGAAATAAACATATTGAATATAGAAATTCCTAGAATCACCATAAAAATGGGTCCGAGAAATTGTAAGATGTGGGTAAAGAGGTTTGTCCACCATTTGATTACATAAACCCTTATATGCACGTGTACGATCGTTGTAAATATGTGGAAAGTAAATGAAAATGTAATAAGGACCAGAGCACGTGGCGTAATGCGGTTACAGCTTCCTTGAAAGTATCTTAGCATACAACATTGTGAGTTCTAGAATGTAAACAGCAAAATTGAGATCATAATATTTATTTATGAGATTTTTATCCAAGAATTAAAAAGGAATATGATTTAAAGTAGTTGATAATTTTGTTTATGCATTTCATTTGTTTATTTCCATGTTTTGTGGAAATAAACGCACGGATTGACTTCGAAAACGAATATGGAAGCGTCGCAGCGCTTGTTTCGACGCAGACACCATTATTTATGTATACTATTTTCAAATTACTATACAAAACTTCAGTTGTTATATATATTACTAGTATATAGTTTATAATATAATATATTGTTGGTATTGGTTGCTAATAATATTTGATTGTAATGTGTTTTGTGCATGAAATAAATAAATAAATAAATAAAAATAAAATACCAATAAATGAGTAGAACAATATGCTTACACATTGTGTGCTCAATGGGATTTATTATCTCACAAGTGTGGTGGAACCATGCTTTGACACGAATGGGCCGGCTCAACCGGCATGATACCACAGTTTCACATAATACCACTACCAACAACTCTCACGTTATGTCGCCGTATGAGAGAGTTTTATAGGTCCAATCCTTCTCTCTCTAACCCCTATTCCTATTTCTAAAATCCTTCAATCCCTAACAACCAATTATAATCCGGTAACGGACTTGTAATTTACAATTTCTTTGGTGTTGCGATTATCCATGAGCGATGCCGATATCTGTTCATTTGGCAATAAATCCGAAAAATAAGGTTTTGTTTTTCATTGAAAGCAGCTCTAATCTGAATTAATACTTGGGATTAAATCTTGTTTGGAAAGTAAAGATGATGGCTTAATTGTTGCCATCTGGTAGATCGTTTTAAAGCATTAAGTATGTTTTTCTTTACATAAGTTAATCCTCTCGCCGATAAAATTACTAAGAAAAATCGTATTACGTCACGATTTACTATTATTCTACAGGGCAGGATGCTTTATGCTGAAGTTTAACGTAATTCTATTTCATATGAGCCAGTAATTAATCTAAGAGTCTATTTACTAAATGTTTTCAGTACTGCAGTAGAAGGAACGAGGGGTTTTTAGTCAGTTAGAATCTGACTCTCCCTCTCGCCTTACCCGAGGCAAGAAAAGTTATTTGATGATTTTCCGTCACAAAAATGCTAAACATAACGCAAGAATTATTTCACGCTGGTTTTCGGTGAAGCAGTGGTATCACTCCAGTCAAGCCGGCCGGCACTCACACCGTCCGACGGCCTTATAAATGTAGCCGCATAATACTTATATATTGTTTTCTTTTTTCAGGATTTGTTAAAGACACCACGTGTTTTGAGCCGCAACAGCATAACACAAAAAACTACGTCAACCCATGATTCAATAGTGTAATAAAATAAACTTAGTCTTATTTATAAACATGTAATAAACATATTGTAGCTATTTAATGTTTTATATTCTTTAATAAACGTAATTTAATATAGCTATGATGAGTTTATTTATTATTTGTGAATAAAACATTTTACTATTTAGAATTGTATGTAACTAAAGTAGAATAATAAAGAAACATTATGAATCTCAAAAATAAAACTTTTTGTTATTTGAGTTTTATTTATTCACTATTATTAATATAAAATATAAAAAAAAATCTACATTTTTAACCAAAAAGTTAGACTTAGTATTATTTCAACCTTTTACAGGCCGTGGCATCAGGAAACCATTAGAATGTAAAAAAAATATAATTTTTAATGGCATCCTCTAGGTTTTTTGCTGTTATTGCCAGTATTATTATAAAAAACGTATCTAATTACGAAAAGTAAAGTAAAGTTGCATTGTAAAAAGGTTAAAATATATTTTATATCTGGTTACACTCCTTTTGCTTCACATAAAAAATAATACTTAGTAATTTTCAAATTGTATTGTTAGTTATCTACTTATGTACACCGAATTATTTAATTGTCTGTAAACCTCGAGGCTATAGCCATGTCTAATAATATAATAATGGAGTTTGTAATTAGTTTCGGGGACGCATTCTAAGTTTGATGGAATGTTACACAACCTACTTAATAGCATATTAATCTTAAAATTCATCATCATCATCAGCCAATAAATGCCCACTGCTGAGCAATAGTCTCTTCTCACACGGAGAAGGTTTGAGCATTAATCACCACGCTTGCTCAACGCGGGTTGGCGATTTCAAACTTACAATTAGAAATTATTACAAGTCCAGGTTTCCTCACGATGTTTACCTTCACCGTATGTCAGCGGTGTCTAAATAATCATAGAAAGTACATGTAACTCAGAAAAAGTCACATTGGTACTTGCCAGGTTTCGAACCCACACGCTCATGCACGAGAAGTGGGCTCCTTAACCTTCGGGCCACCACGACATAATCTTAAAATAAGAAACTTATATTATTTTGTAGAGTTGATATAAAAATTAATGGAGTGAAAAGCATTCATTTAAAATCTACTACTACCTTATTTATAACATTCATCATCAGCCTATAAGTACATAAGTGGCCAAGTGCTCAGAAGTGCTTTAGAATTTGCACACTTATCTCATACGGAAAAGGTTTGAGCATTAATCGCCACGCTTGCTCAAAGCGTATTGGCGATTTCAAAGTTATAATTAAAAATTATAAGTATTATTATAATTAGTAGTAATTAGAAATTATAAGTCCTTTTCTTCACGATGTTTTCCTTTGCCATTTGCCAGTGTTGTCTAAATAATTAAAGACAGTACATATTATAACTCAAAAAAACTTACATTTGTAACACAACTATTTATAACATTGTGTAAAACCTATTTCAATAGTGAACTTCATCGTTTACATTGTATAACTTCACAAGTCAATACTAGATGGCGATTGACATTTAAGCTTTCAAGAGTAATGCGTAAATATCAACGGATTCAATGACAAGTTTTAAACCTCTTTACTATATGTATTTAATAGATACATTCGCAACAAATGTTAATGCTAAAATGATTTACGAATAGACATCGCTTTTATATTTATTTAAGTAGACACGAGTAAATAAATAAAGTGACCATTTATTAATGTATGTTAATAAATTATTAATAATAATATTATAAAGTAGCCGATATACTGAAACTGGTTAGAATAGGTTTCAATAATTTTTTTAAGTATGTAGTGAAAACTAATAATACCTCGCAAATGTTCTTAAGAACATTAGGTTTTCTGTCGTCTCTACTAACATTTACGTGAGACTGGTGTAAACTAGGTAATACTATTTGATCGTTCCTTCGACTATAAAAAACGCGAGAATTGAGTGTAGCACATGTCACTTTTTTTCACACATAGACCCAAAACATATGTAAATTACACAAAGAGTTGTTCCGTGCGTGTATGGAACCCACGGCAGGTTGCACGGCAGCCGCGTTGTAAAATATAAATTAATGAATTCTTTATGTATCGTAAGGAAACCTGGACTTAAAATTTCTAATTATTATAAGTTAGAAATCACTAATCCACCTTGAGTACCAAGCGTTGTACCTAATTAATGCTCAAACCTTTTTCGTGGGAGAAAATACCTTTGCTCAGCAGTGGGACTTATTGGCTGATGATGGTGATGATCTTATCAAGCATAAAATGATACTCTCCATTCACTCCCCGTTAGCTTTCGAAGAACCGATGACCGTTAGTGTTGGTGATCTTGAGTTGAGACTCCGTGCAAGGCTCCCTCCATTTAGGTGGAGGGGCGATATCTCTATGGCTTGTTATTAAAAACGCTCATGACTAGGAGTGAAAGTAAAATGGCTGACAATATAAAGACAATATTTATCAATCTCAAAATAGAAGAGAAGAAGAGTACATTTGTTAATAATATATCTATTATTCTCATAAATAAGAAATCATCCTTATGGTATTAAGCAGTTGATACTAATCTGTTGACATACCAATCAATATAAGTACTAAGTGCTACACAAACAAGCCCAGAAATCGGTCGTCAGCCGTCAAGATAGATTGGGAAGTGATAGCCAGGATGACCTGCGACATTAATTCACTAATCCAATGTATAGTCACGATCGGGTCAGAATGGTAATTCCACATCATACACGTACAATCATAAACAAAAGTCAAACTAAACTATCAAAATCAATCAACAACTCCCAACAAGTATGTCCCTAAAAATTTCTTCACAAATCCCGCTACCATTGCAATATTTTTTGATTTAAATTCGATGGAATACTTTTCGAACTAAAGCTCATAAATGTTTTGCTCGTGACTGTACTGCAATCAGAAGATGCATATCAATGAGATACAATATGCTATACAACTGTACATCATAAGCTCACTGAGCCTAGATCAATTTTAGATTTGTCTCCTTTCAGAATGTCTAAACGATTTTTAAGATATATTCTTAATATGTTTTACAAATAAGGCTTTTAACAGCTTATAAAGTATTTTTTTTATAAATGTACAAAATGGATAACATTACCATTTATTTCTAAGCTACCAATAAAATCGTAGCAGAGCTACGACGTAGCCCGGCTACGTGTGACGTAGCTGTTATGTTTAAAGTAGTAATATAAACAGTCTTGCTTTAGAATGTAGTAGTTTCGAATTAGAGTGTGTTTATACTGTCTTATTACAGTAATTATTTATGATATCAATAATACTGAACCGTACTAATATCAGATTTTTATCAGTAACTTTTGGTTCTTCTGAACTTTAAGCTGATTAGGATCGGTTAGTCGTATCAAATAATTAGTCGTAGGTAGTATTAGCATTTCCATCATTTATCTTCAACCACTACTATACCATTACTATTGGATGTATTACAATTAAATTTATTTCAGGCTCAGAACAAAACAGAGGCTTTCTATACGTCATTGATGTAAGGCCCTTTATGCCAACCTTTTATCCCATCCAAGAATAGAGGCTAAAATTTCGTCAACCGGTGTCACATACCAATGAGAGAATTTCTTAAAAGAAAGAAAGCAAATAAAATGGATTAGTTAGGTACAGACTTTTGTGAATGTCATGAACGACAATAAATTAAACGTCACAATTCGAGATTACTTTCATATTATTTCAACAATGTTTGACTATTGACAGTTCACTAATTGAACGTCTTTTGATATTTCAAAGGGTTAAATTCTACGTGAAATCGAAATTTATTTAATAACCAATTTTCAGTAGCCATTCAGACGTTATTTTATCCGCAATGTGTATTTCTACCTTGTAGTTTAAACTTATTATTACTCAATGGTCTTTTTAACAAGTGCAGACAGACAGTTCTCCTGTATGTTTGTTCTAAATAGGGTGTAGTTACCAGTCAAATGTACTTTTCTTAGAGATAATAATATGTATGTAAAACAGGTTAATTTTCTATAAATTTTAGATTTTATAGCACGTTGAAACGTGAATAACATAAGTACATAGTAAAAAATTAATAGTGGTGCGATAAGTTTATATTTTTTTCTGAGATTAAATAATTTCTATTTGCCTGAGGAAATGACAAACGAATGGTTGTTGATGCTCATTTACTCTTTTTGTACAATCATATTTTGATTTTTATGCGATATGTCGGCAAACGAGCAGATTACCTGATAGTAAGCAATCGTCACGGTGGTCTCTCGACTCCGGTCGAGCCGAACCATAGCTCTCCCACACGAGTATACAAATGTATAGCAGATATCCCCGTGTTGTTTATAAATTGTAATATGGTTTTCATACAGCAATCCTTGTACCTGTTCATCATCACATATCTAACTGATGAAAACAAGAGTCAAACTCTGTTGAATCGGAAATATAAGGTATGATGTAATGTTGATAACACGAAAGAGAACGAAGGAAAACAAGTAAAGGAAAGCGTCCTATACGTAGATTAATAATATGTAATAATAATAACTTCTACACCGTTTCACATAACTCGGCGGATAGCTGTACACACATAGTTAGGAACTTATTATAGCGGTAATAATATCCTTTGATAATATTATTAATGTGTTGTCATAGATTGCTATTTGTTCTCTTATCGCCAACTCATCGCTAAACGCGACCCTTGGGACCCACCACTTGTTATTATATTCGTATTGCGTTATAACAATATGATTATAATGCCCAATTTATGTTTTAATAACATAATATCTTTCCCGAGCTTCGTCATTCAAACAATAGGTCCCTTTAATAATTTTTTTATTGTACGCTGCTAAATAAATGCTGTAATGTAATAACGCTCCAAAGCTAAATGCTAAAATGGAATTCTATTATTTCCTATACCCAACAAAGCTAATAAGTTTAAATTATGTTAAAATATTAATTTCACAGCGGTCATTCCATTAAACAAATTACTTCATAACTTTTCAACTTTGCCTGAAATAACAATTCTCATTTCTACAAAGTGGTTGGAAGGCTTTTTTTG